CTTCTCATTTGATAAATTAAACTTTTATATGGCAATTTTATTGAACTTACAATAAAATTCAAAGAATTAATATAAAAGAAAAATTACTAATTTAGCCTTTTCAGTCTCTTTTTTTCTGTTTTTAATTTTGGAATACTCATTTTGTTTTAAACATATAAAAGTAAAATATTGGTTTCAAAAAAATCCGCTTGTAGATTTTAAATTAAAGATTGCGACATATATTATGTACCAGTGAATATAAAGAGTGAGATATGAAGAGTAGACCATTTAATATTCAAAAAAAAAACAGTCAAAACAGCTATGAAATCTTTTACTATGAAGATATTACAAAAATTTTAAATATGATAAATTATGATATAAAAGGATGTGATATAAAGATATTATTACACCATTAGAACCTCCACCACTAAAATAAGATTCTATGCACAAATTTTTAAAAAATTTGTTTAAAATTTGTCTGGGATATACATGTGTCCTACTGAGACTAAAATAATTAAATATAATAAGCATTAAATATAAATTGTATGGTTGGAATACTTTTCGTGGAAATTTTTTCATGAAAATGTTGACCAACATAATAACATATCACTGCAACTTTGGTTGAATAGAATTTAATATTTATTTTTCAGTAGCATGTTTTTTTTATTTTCTCTCTGAACTGAAAGGATTAAGTGAAATTTCAGTGAAATTAGTCAGAAATTTTATATTTAATATAAAATTTTATCATGAATGCATGATAGAAATATTTTAAAAAATAAAATTAAATATTAACATAAAATTATTATTTACAATATTAATTGTAATTTGCTTTATAAATATAGATAATTTAACACGATAACAAAATGTTTTATTCAGAATATTTTTATAAAATTTTCAATAAAATAATACGAAATTTAATGAAAAAAAAAATTTCACGTTATTAGAAACAACATACGCACGAACTGAAAACTTGGAAATTCATGTCAAAGTAAAATATCAAACGATAGCCTGTAGTTGAAAGTGACTAAAACTTTAGATCGGCGAGATACATTATTTTGTAGATGGAAAGAAATATGAATAGCGAGGTATCACGTATGTTATTTATCATTAATGTACATGTTGTAAATAATATCAAATTCAAATTTATACATTATATTAATGCACATGTTGTAAATAATATCAAATTCAAATTTATACAACGTTCGACGTTTTTTCTTTTATAAAAATAGTTCTTTTAATAATTTTCATAAATAATGTTATAGTCATATCGATTTTAAAATTGTATCATAAAAAATTACACAAGTCTGGTAAAAGAAATCAAAAATTCAAATTTGAATCATCCGACACGAAATCACATTTTTGTAATATTATCTTAAAATCATTAAAATTTCACAGAAATTTAAAATTCAATAGATTAAATAATGAAGTTTTCTTTTTATTAAATATTTTTTAAATAATTCATTAAAGTTTTCCAAGTTTGTTTGAATTTTTTAAATATTGTCAAAATTTTAGTAGATTTAGTCAGATTGACTACACTATTTTAGATTTGTCTAAAAATCCTCTTTAACTCTAACTTATGATTTCATTTGTAATAATGAAAATTTTTTTAATTCATAATTTCATTCAATTTATCAATTAAATCTTATCTAAAAACTCCTCTTCAACTCTAAATTATAATCTATCTGTTAATCTTCATTCCCTTTCAACGTTCTCTTCCCAAGTAAGAAAAATAAAACTTCCCTTCCCAATGTTCTGTATAATTAAATTAATATTGTTAATGAAATTTTATAAATTAAATATTGTAAATATTAACAAAACTTACTATTAACGATAAAATAAATTAAATTTTACGAGGTAATTTTACAAATTACAAATTACCTTGTACAATAATTTACTAAGTGTTATCTATTGTATACTTGATCTCGCTGTATTCTTTAGATTTATTCTTTTATTCTTTTTTTAAAATTAAAAGTAAAATAATACTATTTTGTTGAAATAGTATTATTTTACTTTTAATTAATAATTAATTATTTTACTTTTAAAATAATAATACTAAATGAAAGTTTTATTACTATGGATTATTCTTCGATTAAATATCCTCTTAAAATAAGATTGCAGATTCTTTTTGTTTGCTAAATTGAGTGTAAGAATTGAAGTATAATAATTCGAGAATCATAATAGGATCATTGAATTGGAAAATTACGGATTCCATACTAGTTTTTAATTATTTTATGTTAAGTATATTATTTTATTATCAAAATTCGTTGAATTTAACATCCACCCTTTTTCTCGTAGTTTTTTTAAAGAAAGAATTCTCTAATTTAAAAGAAAATTTACTATCGTTGTATTATAAATAGATTAAAATGAATTTTTATATACTTATAGGATATTTTAAAATATAAGATTGCTTGAAGTGTATAAAAAAAATGAAAATATATTTAAAATATAATATTTTCTGTAACAATATATAAAACAATTTTATTCTGAAGCTACTATTTTTTAAATTATTCTATATTACAACTATATTCTCAAAAACGTGAAAAAAAACATAAAAGAAACACAACAATGGTGATTTCTGAATGACAACGATGATCATTTAAAAAACAGTATATTAGGAAGATTTGCAAAGGCAAAAGGGTTATATGCAGTGACATGCAACGTTTGAACGGTATCATCTTCACAGGAATGTCGAACATTTCAATGAAATGCATTCTAATGCATCGTTTGCATAATCGGTAAGGATTCGCAGAAAGTGGAGAATGTTTCTTCTCACAGAGAGACGAGCAGCTTTGTGGCTCGAATGCACGCATTCTCATGTTAAGTATCTCCTTAGGGCTTAGGGCGTTTCTACGCAACTGGCACTGGCTGTATCTTTAACACGGTTATAGATAAAAAGAAGCATCGTAAGATAAAATGAAATTTAGAAAATATATTGGTTTTAATTTTATGTATCTTTCGACATTGGTGTATATGTATTTGAAAAACAAAAACGTATCTCTTTTTGAAATTCTGAAATTGAAAATCTTGGTGCAAAAATTTGCACTTCATTTTCTAATAAAATTTTATTTTATCGTCGAAGTTTTATATATGTATTTTTATTACATTGTCGGTTGATTGTTGCAAGAATCAGACAAATTAATATGAGAAAATGAAAAATTCTTATTTGTTACATAATTTTGTTATGTTATATCTTATATATTAAAAAAAATATATATAATCCAATACAAGAAAATGAAGCTTTTTCTTCAGATGACTTATTTTAGATGTCTATATAAAGGTGGCAAGTAGATATTGAAATAAATATTAAATATTTATTTTATTTCATCATTAAATTAATCCAAATAAAGGGATAAAAAGAATTAAGTAAGATTTCATTAATAGTTAAGATTAAATAATCATAATTACCTTTCTTCTCACATCATAATTACCTTTCCCATTATTTTAATTACTTTTTCTTCTAATATAATAGTAATATTTTATATTACTTTTTACATATACTTATGTATATTGCATAATTGCAATTTTCCTTTTGTTGCTAAGTAAAATAAGCGAAATACGGAGGAGATTTTTGACGAAACATTGAAATTATAGAATTACTTTTTAAATGAAATTAGTTTTAAATATAAATAAGCTAGTTTTAAGTTTGACAAAATAATTTTAAATAAAACAAATACAATTTTTATAATTTTATATTATTAGTATAATATTTAATATAATATTTAATATAATATCATATTACTTATGGTCATATAAGTTACTATGTTACAATATTATGCAATTTCATACAATATATTTTCTAATGAGACATTATAAGTAACAGAGACATTACAAATAATGTATATATATAATTAATATTTCTTATATATATATTAATATAATTTATGTTATATGATAATTGTAAATTACTTAAAATTTGAAAATAAAAACGAAACCAAACGAAATAATTAATATAGTTAATAAAATAATAATTGCTAGAAAGAGTATCTGCATTATGTACCTCTTAAGTTTGCCATTTGTGCATATGTAAATGTGGATATCTTTTTACCATTCTCTTCAATTCCTGTTTTATTAACTACATCAACTATTTCAATTTTTAAAAAATTTTAAATTTATTAAGCAATGGTGTTTTGGAAAACTATATCGAATAAAAGTAAACTAAATACAATGAAATCCATCACAGTATTGTCAAATGATACATTTCTAAATTCCGAAACACAGTATCTGTAACTATTTCATTTTATATTGTGTATTTATGTGTGTATAAAAAAGAGCTCTATTCTGACGAATTCATTGATGAATTCTTCCGCATAATGTATTGAAATTTTAAATTATAAAAGAAATTCTTAATCAACTATATTTTTAATTGTTTCTTAAAATTATTTTGGACTACAATTCCAAGTGACCATCGATCGAAATGAAATTTGAAGAGTATTGTGGGAGGTGTGAAAAAATTCTAAAGATATAAAATTTTAGCTTCGAGAATGCTTCGAAGATTCTTCCATTTTATGAAATGTAGTGTACATATACGATAAGAACAAGCAGCTATCATTATGAATGAAAATGGGAAATATATAGCAAATCCACTTTTTGATGTCTAACCATACACAGACTAGTGCTACTTGTTAATATCAAGTCAGACGTTGATTTGTACTACTTGCTTGAATACACTACATGTTTACTCATACATTGACCTACACTAATTGTCTATCCAGACGTTTAACTGTACTAATTGATCGCTCATATATTGACCTACACTACTTAATCCCCAAAACGAAAAAGCATTGGATATCTAGTCTATGGTATTAGTCAATGCCACAGGCGAAGTTCCTTAGAATTTGGCTAAATCGATACGACATGATATAACACGAAAATGATAAAGGGGTTTTTACATACTCTCTCGTTTGAATAAGATCGGAATTTAATTATATTCATTTGATTTGCATCTAATTTATTAATAATTACATAATTTAATTATTTAACTTCGGGATATATAGTATATTTCTTTCTTTTTATTTTTTATTATGGAACAACTTTTATTGGTTAAAATAGTAATATAATTAAATATCAATTATTGCAACTGTAAGAATAATAAGAAATTATCTTAATGATACATTTCTTCCTCACTACTAGTAATGATTATCACAAACAATCAATATTCGTATGTCGATAGTCACATATATCGATTTTGAAGAAACCTAACATAACCTAACCAATAAATGTAACAGGAATACATCTGCGAGTTCATTTAACTGTAGGATTAACGGTGAGATGAGATTAATGTTATTGAAATATTCCTTTATTGTGATAAAAGAAATTTATACATTTTATCAAATTTTATACATTTTAAATATTCTTTTTTTTTTTTTAAATATTTTCTGTTGATATTGTAATATTTTTAGAGTTTCGAAATTTATGTTTGGAAATGTTAAAATTTGATATTTGATTATATTTATAAGAAAAATTAACATACATTTTCTTAATTGTACAATCACAATAATATTTTAAATAATTTAACCAAATGATTTATTACTACTTGTTTTAAATATTAAAATTTAGCTTATAATAACAGAAATAAAATATACAATTTTTGTTAATTTTGTAATTCATTTTTGTTAACTATGCAAGCATTAATTTATTTAAAATATTAAAGTGAATAATAAATGTATGACTATTACAATGTTTGTTGTATAATTGTTACATTAAAATTAACCTTTTTTATCCTCTAGATGGTCGATACTGAAGTAAAAGAAACAAGATTTCAGGAGAACAAAAATACTCCTACAGAAACGAAAAAAAGTAGAAAAGGTGGACGAATTAGACCCAGGAATTATAATTTAGGAAATGGTGTTTACAGATTTAGTCGTACCCGGATGTTTCACAAAAAAGCTATCTACAAATTCATTGATAAGAAAACTCCAAAAACTGTATGTTAAACACCATTAGGTACATCATTTATTTTTGTCTATATTTATATTTTGTTCATGTAATATAGGTTAAACCCAAAAAACCAGTTACAATTGAAAAGAAGATTAGTGGTGATAAAAATGGGGAGAAACGAATCGTATTGTTAAAGAAAAGGCGTGCAAACTATCCTAATGAAGATCCAGTAACAGTACACCATGCTAAAAAGTGTTTCCGTGACCAACACCATAGTTTAAGATCTTCGTTGAAACCAGGAACTATTTGTATATTAGTTGCTGGCACGAATAAAGGAAAACGTGTTGTTTTCTTGAAGCAACTTGAGAGTAGCTTACTCCTAGTTACAGGTAAAATTTATTTAAATTTATTATAATGTAATAATATATGAAGTATTTTGAAATATTTAATGAAACTAAAATTAATGATATTTATATGATTATGTGTTAAAATAGGCCCTTTTTTGATCAACGGTTGTCCACTACGTCGAGTAAGTCAAAATTACGTGATGGCTACTTCCACACGTATTAATATTTCTGGTCTGAAGATTCCGGCTCACATCAACGACGATTATTTCAAGAGGAAACGCGAGAAACGCGCGAAAAAGGAAGAAGGCGATATCTTCAGCAAAAAAAAGGACGAATATAAACCAAATGATCAAAGAAAAGCTGATCAAAAAGTAGTTGACAAATTTGTAATTGCTGCTATCAAGAGAAACAAGGAGAAAAAAATGTTATTCACCTACTTATCAGCAATGTTTGGGCTGAGGAGCAGCCAATATCCACATAGATTAAAATTCTGATCTATAAAGATTAAACAATCAACTAATATTAATAAGAAAGAATAATATTAATAAGAAAGAATTATCAATGAAATTCTCATTTTTATTGTGAATTATGAATATTTATAATGAATCAATATCCACACAGATTAAAATTCTAATCTCTAAAATTATAATTTTAATTTATGTGGATATTGATTCATTGTATGTGCCAATACATATTATTCATAATTATCCATATTATCAATTTTATATGGATCTTGAAATGACGCTTGCGCTGGCTACCCACAATTTATGTACAACAAAGACCACAATGAAAAATGAAAATTTCATTGATAATTTCATATTACTCGCTTTTCTATTAATATTAATTGATTGCCTATTGACTCGGAGGTGTTTAAAAAATTAATCGATAACATTATTTGTGACGCGTTTGAACGTGACTGAATGTGTAGCTGATTCACAAGTCTTCATCAATTAAAACCATTCCTTAATTCTACTCAACAAATATTCAAATCATAAATCATAAATTTTCTTCTTATTTTTGCACCAAAAATCTGTTGTTGCAATTCTATGGTGATGTTTCTCGACAATCATCTTATCAGATGGAGTATACACGATAGACGTGTATCATCGACGAGGTATATGAATAAGTATTACATATACTCTGAAATACGATCGATAGTTAATCAATATGCTAAAGATATGACTTTTTGAAATCCATAACCTCCAAAACATGAGGTACGAAAAAGCATTGGATCCAGTCTATCTTACAGTTAGTCAATGGTTAATGGTTCCACAAACGAGAATCCCCTGAGCGTATGATACAAAAATGCATTGGGTATCGTGTCTCATACTTTGTCTATGATAATTGTAAATATGTATGTAGAATAATTTCGTATTACTTGCTTGACATTTATTAGTAAAGAATACCAAAATCGTGATTTTTCTACATGCTTATACGTACAAAAATCTTTATTATTCGATTATAATTAACTACTGATTGTAACTAATTTAATTAAGTTTGAAAAGCGAAAAATTTTATCTTCAATTTTTTGGAATTATAAAAGTTATACAGAACTTTCTTTTTATATTAATCAATTTAAACCTGAAGAATTAGAATTATGTTTAATAGTAAAAGTCTAATGTATTAAAATTAATTAAAATTTATCTATGAAGTACAAAATAGGGAAAAATAAATCGTTATTTATGACTTGTTCCCTTACTTTAAAATTGTATAGAAAAATTATTTAAAATATTAACAAATATTAAAAGATATTATTTGAAAAGAAGTATTTTCTATTATACTCGAATATATTTAGTAAAATTATGTCGAATTTGTTAATTAATTTTTGCTATTTATTATCGTTACTATAAATTCAAAAACGCCGCCGAATTTTATTTGATGAAATTTAAATTGTACCAGATGGCTATAGTTATTTTGTGATTGTGAATCCGTGATTGAAAAAACTTGGTGAAAATTAGGTACGTGGTTACAGTACGATGGTCGTCGAAGAGAAAATTAGTGATTCCTTGAAGGAAAATCAAGTAAATGATGACACAATATCAGTGGAACAGAGGACGTACTCGTTGGAAAGTATCCTTTCCAAAAAACTTTTCACTCATAAAAATAGTTTTATCAACGCCATATGTTCTACTTCTTAACCTATATTTGGCATTCATTATCTTTTCATAATTGTACACATGCATCGTTATCAAAAATTGAAATAATAATTTCTATAAATTTACGAATAAGAAGTCATCATAAAGATTATTTTCTTTTTCGTATATAGCTTTATTCTTATTTATCTTTATTATCTTTATTATATGTTTGATCATGTTCAAGTTAATGAAACATGATTTGGCATTTATTAACCCTCATTTGTCATCCCTTATTTTTACAATTTAATTTGTCTCTTAATTTTGAAATTGTTAACAATTAAGAAAATTAATACGATAAAAGGATAAATAGTTAAATTTGCAAATTTCTTTATTGATAATAGACTAAATTTCTATTCAATTTCATATTAATTATTATAACAGGTATAGTTATTAAATTTTATATTGCAATCTTACAGATTTTAAAAAAGTATATTAAATTGACGCACATACAAGATATTTAATTTATATTCTATATCTTTGTATTTCTATATGATTGTATTTTCATGAATTGTATTTTGTTATATTTATATTTCTATGAATTATATATTATTGCTTAATAGTTGAATAGTTTTAAAAATAATAAAAGAGGCACAACAGCAACATGGGTTGAGGCATGGCGATTATCAACGATACCGTGGATATTGCTCAAGAAGACTAAGACGTCTTAGGAAGGTTCTAAAAGTTCCACAAGGAGACAAGCGTCACTTTAAAAGAAGAGATATAACAACCTTGATGGTTACAGATGACAAGTTTTTACAAGTTCCTCTAATAATGGCAGAACGTGCTTGGAGTTATGCTATGCAATTACGTCAAGAATCTAATACAGAACCAAGAAAAAAGTTTCACTTAATATCAAGATTGAGGAAAGCTGCTACATATTCCTTACAATTACAAGAATTGATAGAGGTAAGATAAATTCTTCTATTGTTAAAAAGTATTATTTTTTCAAATAATAAATATATATTTCAGAATGCTAACTGCGATGCAAGAACAAAGTTAGAAGCTCAAGCATATGTAGCGTGGATACATGGATCCTTACATTTTGAATTACAACTGTGGAAGAAAGCAATGGAAAATTTAAAGAAGGCTCAAGTGGTATATGGAAAGCTGGCCTCTGCACTACCAGAATCTGAGCAAATATTGTACAACGCTCGCGTCGAGGAACTTGCTCCAAGCCTTAGATACTGTGCCTACAACATAGGAGATACCACTGCCATAGATGATTTAATGCAAATGAGAGGACAATTAAGTGGCGAGTTACTAGCCAGTTTAGATTCGTTGATAGCTCAAACTCGAGAAAAACAAGCAAATACTGAAGAAGTAACTTGGCGTGGCCAGTCTTGTGGTGTAGTTCCACCAAGAGCAGCTGGTCTCCTAATCGCTGATTCTAGACTAAATCAAACATTAGAGAAAGCAGCTACAAATCAAGCTAAGATTGATTTGTTAGAAGCGCATTTGATAGATTGTAAAGATGCGATTTCGACCATAAGAGACTTGTTTAAAAATGAGCTAAAAAACAAAGACAATGATAAGCTGTCTTCTTCACAGCATTTAATCACATATTTACAATATATCAGATTATCTCGTACATTGGAAAGGAACTTAGCATTAATAAAAGCAGCGGAAGAATCTGCAAAAACAAAACCACAAGATATTGTACGATTATACGAAGCAGCACTTCACAATCTTGTTGAAATATCCCAACTACAGGATGATGAAGAATTTGTACGTGAACAAGAAGCAAAAACAAAGGGTTATAGGGCCTTCAGATGTTATTATATGGCACAATCACTGGCAAATCTTCATAGATGGAGAGAAGCCATGGCTTTGTATCAGAGAGCTGCGAAACATGCAAAAGATGCGTTAGAATATGGTAAAGTGCTCCCAGAATCGTTAAATGAAGCTCTTGAGAAACTGGAAATCTCTATAGAAGGTGCCAAGTATGCAGCACATGCACACAGTGTTTTAGAAGATGGACAAGAAGAAGAACCTGGAATTAATAAATACACAAGAACGAAGAAGCCTCTGTATGAACGTTTACACGAGTACAGAGAAGACAGTGCGCTTCTTACAAAGCAACCTAATGTTTACAAATTGCCACCATCCATGCAACCTATTCCTTGTAAACCACTCTTCTTCGATTTAGCTTTCAATATGGTTGAATTCCCTGATTTAAGTGAGAAACTTGGCGACCAGGCTAAGAAAGGCGGTCAAGCTGGTCTTACTGGATTCGTTAAAGGTCTTTGGGGTTGGGGTAACAAATAAAAAAACAGGGGAAACTTGTGAAGAACATTCAATTTTGGATATTATCACACATAGTATGATAATGCATTTTTACGGTATTTAATCGGCTTGACAAGAACCGATTTTTCACTTATAACAGCAATATTGAATAACAAAAAATAAAGAGGATATTATTAATATGTGTTTGAGTTTTTATTTGTGTATAATTCCGTATTTGAATTTTATTATTGGAATATTTTTATATTTTCGAATGTTTCTTATTTAATCGAAGCTAATTAAAATAATTAAAATTATAGTTATTCTAATCTACTGTGGAGAAATTAAAATTTATTTATAATCATCACGATTATATTAACATGTAAATTGACGTCTATTTTAAAGTTTGTATTTCACATAAAACTTGCCACCATACCTAGTCATAAATTGCAAATGTAATTGAGCTTAATAGGAGGTGCAGTCCTGTCTCTAGGTGTTTTTTGATCAATCAGAAAAAGTGAATCATATAAATATAATAATCATATATCATAAAATTTATAAAATCTTTATAATATCATAAAATCATAAAATTTAATTTATATATATATAAACAGCAACTTCTTCATTTTTATCAGAGTAAACTTCCGATATGATTTAAAAATCCACTAATTTCTATTTCTTTTTTTCTGACTAAAAAAGCAGATCTGGCGATTTATGTACAATTTGACAGTAAATTGAAAAACGCGAAAATCAACGACACGACTTCGTACTAAACAATTAAAACACGAATGAAGTCGACCGATTTGTACATTACATAGTTTACACGAATGACTCTATAGGCAAAATTATGCTTACATGATCGATTATAGTGACAAAATGATTGATAAGAAGCGTATGCGAATAACCTTCATTTGTATGAATGCAAGTGCAAATAATGTTTATTGACTTATAGATCTGTATATCAAAAAGTGAGACAAAGTCATATCATTTTGATGAACATAATCATTTCGTAGTTTAGTTTTATATTGTACAAAATTGAAAGTAATTTTGGAAATAAAGTAAGTATAAAATAAGAATTTTTGCACGCTGTGTAAATAGTATCATGCAGTACCATTGCGTTGCTCAAATTTCGTGGCGAATAGTGCCAGTTTCGATTATATGCGCTCGGTTTCGATTATAGCTCGTCATCGACCATAGTTTCCTTTCCTAATAATTTTTTTCAATTCAACCACATGAACCTAAAAATTGCATAAATAGCTAGTTTTTTACTACTTTTATTTACAGATACGTGTATAGTTATATCAAGAAAGCGCTATTGCGTTGTATGGCACTATTCAACACGGTTTTTTAAATAGTCTCTGGCATTAAAACGGTTAACCTAAATTACTAAACAACAATCTCCGGTCCCTGTGTAGTTAAATAAAAATCATGGACAAAAATTTAGAAGCCATGGATACTGAATTAAAAGAATTAGCTATATCACTTTTTGAAATAGACGCGTTTAAATTTGGAGAATTTGTAACCAAAATTGGTCTAAAAACTCCAATATATTTTGACTTAAGGGTATTAGTTTCTCATCCAAAAATAATGGTAAGTTTCATTATATCAATAATTATAATCATTTGTAGATATTCGTATGCTTCTTAATGTAATAATTTATGTATATTTTTTCAAATATTTGCATTTATATATATGCAGGCTCGTTTGGCTAGAATGTTATGGACATTTGCAGAAGAATGCTCGGATGTAGCACAAATTTGTGGTGTTCCTTATACAGCTCTACCTCTAGCTACTTTAATTTCTGTAGATTCCAATGTTCCTATGTTAATCAAAAGAAAGGAAGTAAAGGCATATGGTACAAAGAAAATTATAGAAGGAAATTTTAAGCAAGGAGACAATTGTGTGATTATTGAGGATGTAGTTACAAGTGGTAGCAGTATTTTAGAAACGGCACATATCTTAAGGAAAGAAGGTTTAAAGGTGATAGAAGCATTTGTAGTAATTGATAGAGAACAAAATGGCAAGCAAAATATAGAGAATCATGGAATTAGAGTGAAGAGTCTCTATACAACCACCAGACTACTGGCATACCTTTTAGAAGCCAATAAAATTACACCCAAAATTGTTAAAGATGTGACTGATTATTTATTAAAATTCCAGGCACCAATCATTCCTCTTCAAGGTAAAAGGATATTTATTTTATTTTTAAATATTAAATAACTTTTTTAAAGAATTAATTATTTTAAAAAATTTCAGACAAGCGATTAAAGATTCCATTTCATGTTCGTGCTTCCAAAGCTAAAAACGCAATTGCTTCTAAATTGTTTAATCTAATGGAATCAAAGCAGTCTACTATATGTTTAGCGGCAGATTTGACTAAAGCTGATGCTGTGATAGAGCTGGCAGATTTAACAGGACCACACATAGTGTTGTTCAAAACACATGTAGACATATTAGAAGATTTTAGCAATGATTTCATCAAACGTTTAAAAGAATTAGCCAAGAAGCATAATTTTTTAATAATGGAAGATAGAAAATTTGCTGATATCGGAAATACGGTATCTTTACAATATGAAAAAGGCATATATAAAATAGCAGAATGGGCAGATATCGTTACAGTGCATGCTATCGCGGGTCAAAGTATTATAGATGGCTTGAAGAATGGTTTACAAAAAATAAGCGAGTCCCGTGGTTTATTTATCTTGGCGGAAATGTCTTCCAAAGGAGCATTAACCATTGGTGAATACGCGTTGGGCGCAGTGACTATTGCACAAAGTTCGGATATGGTAGCTGGAATTGTTTGTCAATCGAACATTTTTTCGAATTTAGGGCTTGTTCAATTGACACCTGGCGTAAAATTATCACAAGGTTCCGATAATACAGGACAACAGTACAATACTCCAGAATTTGTGGTAAATTCTGGAGCTGACTTAGCTGTAGTTGGTAGAGGTATTATTGAAGCAGAAGATAAATTAGCTGCTACATTAGAATATAAAGAGAAGCTTTGGACAGCTTACCTGAAACGAATATCGGACCATTAATTTTTCGATTATTTCCTAATAAATAAATATTAGAATAGAAGGAAAATATATTTTTTTATTTTCAAACATGTGTACTACAATTGAAGATTGTAGATAATTGAATAACATTGAATTTAAAAAAAAAAAAAGAGTTGTAAATAGTACGATACACAAATTTATAGATTTCGATGTATGTATATACATTATACAATAGTACATTAATCTATTCACATTTTTGTACAAAAGTTTTAAAATATATTTACTTGTTCCCATTAATAATACAGGATTACATGTACTCACATGTATCAATATTTGTCGCAACGTGCAAGAAATATCATATAAAAATCTTTGTATTTATGTATGTGTATTCTACCTCCTTTGTATAAAATGTAATTAAATGAATTCCTTGCTATGTATTATTTGTATACAATACGAATATTTTACATTCTTGTATAACTATTATAATGTCATGAAATTATATTTTTCATCAAAACTTAAATGTTCTTTCTCAAATTAATTTATCTTATTTAGTCTTATTACTAGACTGCGGATCTTTATGTAAATTTAAATTATTTTTAAGAATACGATTGAAAATAGATTTTGTGAATATTGTAGAAAGTATTATAATTTGTATATTTTATACATTTTTTCATATTATACATATTTTGTGCATGTCTGCACCTTACAATTTTCTATAAATACATAAAAATCCATAGTCTATTTATTATAAAATAATTAAAAACAAAAAAATGCTGTGCAGGAGATTAAACTTAATTTTGTCATCACGAGCAAGTACAATATTTCATTGGGAACGTCGTGCATACGAGATCAAATTTTTCATGCTTCCTTGCTCTGAGTAAGTTCTTCGACTAGTTTCCGAAATACCTGCGCTACCTGACTATCAGGTAATGTTACCAGAACACTTTGACCAGTTTCTGCTAATTTTCCAACTTGTGGATCTATAGGCACTTTTGCTAAAAATGGAACATTTACCATTTTCGAAAGAGCTATTCCTCCACCCGCGGAAAATATATTTGTACATTCCTATAATTAATATTTGTTATGAATTTTCAGAAAATGTATCAAAAATTTGTTTTTATTATTTGAATAATCAGTCTATACTAACTGAGCATGATGGACAAACAAAGCCACTCATATTTTCAATAATGCCAAATATATGAATCCCAGTTTTCTTACAAAATGTTACTTCTCGTAGAACATCATCCACTGCAACTGCTTGTGGAGTAGTTACTATGAGTGCACCATCACATTTCACATTTCTGTAAGTTTCAAAAAAGCAAAATATTATTAACTTTTATTTTGACATTATTCTACATATGTTACAAGATGTCCTTATTAGCACATGTGCAAATGCTTATCAATCTCATGACTAATGCTTATCTAACAAGAAATACACTTCATTTGAATATCACATGATGATTAATCATAGTCACATGTCAGTCCAAGAGCATGTGACATTAACAATATTACAAATTCATGGAATATTTTTGCAATTAACCTGACAAATATTTAAGTAAGGAAAAAACTTTAGTCTCACCTTAAGTTTTCCATCACTGTAATATGTTCATCCGAAGTTCCTGGTGGTGTATCAATAATTAAATAATCAATGTTTTGCCAAACTACATCAGTTAAAAATTGTTTAACCATTCCAGTTTTCTTTGGGCCTCTCCAAACGATACTATTATCTTTGTTTTTTAATAAAAATCCTATCGACATGACAGCTAGTTTTTGCTCCTTATCTGCAAACACTGGTATCCATCTAAATAACAAAGTAACAACAACATATATAAATAATTATGTTTCATGTAGACAGAAGAAAATAGATAAAAATCTTATAAAAATTTACAAAAAATTTGTCAATTTTTACAATGAATAACAACAATTATATTTTATTTAATTTTATCTACCCATCGGAAGATTGATGAACATCTCTATCCTCCAAATTTAACAGATAAGGCACACTGGGTCCGCAAAGATCAACGTCTAACAAACCAACCTACAACATTTTTTTGTGTGTAAGAGATCTAACCTACAATTATAAAAAATTGTTCAACTTACTCGAAAACCCGACTCCTTGAGCGCAAGTGCCAATTGCGTGCTGATCGTTGATTTTCCAACACCACCTTTACCGGAAAGCACTAATAAAACATGTTTAACACCTTCCAACATTACGAAAAGAAATACGCAAACACCACCGGCGATGTAACCTCCACGACAGTCGGTCGCGTTCTGACAATTTTTGTTTTCTGTCAAATTGTTTCAGCTCCGATTCATAGAGAATTTTTTCAACTACTGATATTTCTTGTTCAAAATCCATTTGTCTTCGTACAAATTAAGAGGCAAAAATCTTTTTATTTCGTCGAGCATTTTCTATATATTTTACATTTTGTTAATCTTGCATTTGTGTTTTAGAATTATATACTTTGTGATTTAAGGTAAATTTTTCCTCGCGTAAATGCATTTTCAAAGACAGCTCTTTATTATAGAAGCGTTAAGTAGAAGTTTCAAAAAGCTATCACTTGCTCGAATTGACACCTGTCAGAATCAAAGAATCAAAAACTCCAATTTCAAATCTTTTAACCCGTAACTACAATTTTTTTGGAAATTTATTTTCGTATCGAACATTTTTTTTTTTTTTTTTTTTTTGGAAAAAAGGTTTTTGTCTAAACTACGGAGCGATAATGTCCGTATTCGCTTTTACGACCACACGGTAATCAATAAAATTCCGTATCTATTAGCAACAGTGACTAAAAATGGTAAACATCGCGTCGTGTGTCGTATTTTCTTTTTTATTTAATATAAACAGTTCAACAGCGTTTTAAAAAAATCATTTTCATACTCATATTCAATATTTTACACTCTATAGGTCTTTCTAAACTGAGATTATTGATTTTCAACGAAAATTTGTAACAGATACTGTCAAGAGCGAAGCCAGCTTCTTCCGAAGGAGTGAGAAGGTCCGCGTCAGAGAAAAGAATACCAAAGTTGGAAGAATTTCTAGAGAAGCGTGATTACACGGGTGCTTTGACACTTTTGGAATTCAGCAATACCTCAGAGACTCTAAAGTCTGAATCATGGATAGGTTATTGTGCTTTCCATTTGGGAGACTACAGACGTGCAGCTACGATTTACGAAAATTTGCGGAAGAAAGACGAAACACCAGCGGATACGTCGACAAATCTGGCATGCTGTTATTTTTATCTTGGAATGTACCCTGAGGCTCAAAAAATTCTGGAAGATGCTCCGCACAGTAAACTGAAGAACAGACTGTTATTTCATTTAGCCCATAAAATGGGCAACGAAGCGAAATTAATGGAATACCATCACATGCTAGAGGATGTGATAGAAGATCAGCTTAGTTTAGCTTCTATCCATTATCTCAGAGCTCATTATCAAGAGGCCATCGACGTTTATAAAAAAATCCTATTGGAGAACAGGTTGTCCAGCTGTTCTTATTATTCCGTTTGATAAAAAAATTAGTGTTTTCGGTACTTCAAATCAAGATATTCTTTAGGGACTTTGATAGCGACGATTCGAGTAGTATTAACGAGAATCTAAGTGATAGAAGTTCCGACGTGCGTTTGATCAGAGAATTAAATGATTCCAGGTACCCATTTCCTTCCTCCATCCTTTCTCCTTTATTTCCATTCAACTGAATAATTCTACGATTTATTTTAGAAACTAATGCAATACAGTTTCCCATATCCGTGGGATGAGAAGACAAAATGTTTGATTAATTTC